TACGAAAGAAGACATATATGAGGCCAACAATCATATGAAAAAATGCTCATCGTCACTGGTCATCAGAGAGTTGCAAATCAAAACCACATTGAGATACCATCTCACGCCAGTTAGAATGGCGATCATTAAAAAATCTGGAGACAACAGATGCTGGAGAGGATGTGGAGAAAAAGGAACACTTTTACACTGTTGGTGGGAGTGTAAATTAGTTCAACCATTGTGGAAGACGGTGTGGCGATTCCTCAAGGCCTTAGAAATAGAAATTCCATTTGACCCAGCAATCCCATTACTGGGTATATATCCAAAAGACTATAAATCATTCTACTATAAGGACACATGTACACGAATGTTCATTGCAGCACTGTTTACAATAGCAAAGACCTGGAATCAACCCAAATGCCCATTGATAATAGACTGGATTGGAAAAATGTGGCACATATACACCATGGAATATTATGCAGCAATCAGAAATGATGAGTTTGTGTCGTTTGTAGGGACATGGATGAATCTGGAGAACATCATCCTCAGCAAACTGACACAAGAACAGAAAATGAAACACCGCATATTCTCACTCATAGGTGGGTGATGAAAAATGAGAACACATGGACACCGAAAGGGGAGTACTAAACACTGGGGTCTATTGGGGGGAAAAGGGGAGGGCCAGTGGGAGGGGGAGGTGGGGAGGGATAGCCTGGGGAGAAATGCCAAATGTGGGTGAAGGGGAGAAGAAAAGCAAAGCACACTGCCATGTGTGTACCTACACAACTGTCTTGCATGCTCTGCTCATGTACCCCAAAACCTAAAATCCAATAAAAAATTAAAAAAAAAAAAAAAAAGAACTGCTACATAAAATATTTCAATATCTTCTCATTACAGTCCTATGAACAAAATGGAGCAAGCCCTATCATTACCATTTTCCAGATGAAAAAACTGAGTTTTCTGTGTGTGATTTATCCATATCAAGTGGTCCTCTCTTTTTCTTCTTTTGGTAACATATCAAACATGGCTTTGCTAAGGTCAGATGTCACTCAACATGCTTCAAACTATCATTTGTTATTTATTATCATGATTATTTTTGTCTTTAAAAGTAATGCATGACCATTGCAGGACATTTTGGAAACATAAAAAATGAAAAGTTGTCACACAAAGAAGACGGTTAACCAGCTAGTGAATTTCTTTTCACTCTTCGTCTTTGCACATTTTTAAATATTTATGTTCATGCTTTTTATACAGTTGCATAACCTGTTTTTACAATTTAATGTTACACAAAAGTATTTTCATGTTACTGCTTTTAAAAATTCTGGATCCTAAAATGCAGTTAAAACTGTTTAGGTAACTTCCTATGGCTAGTAAAATTTCATAACCTTTTCCCTTTGATCCCTAAGTTCCCATCCAGATTTAACTCCCAAGGAAAAAATATGAATGTTCTGTAAATTGTTTCTTCATAGTAATATTAGTAATTGATCATTAGAAAGCTATTAATTGCAATGTTGTAATTGAATTTTATGTTCTACTATATTACTCCACTTGGTAATTCTATTAGAACCAAGAATTACTTTCCAGGAAACTTAGAAGGATAGGTAGGGAAATAGTATCTTCCAGCTATTATGTTGAACCAGCCTTACATCATCCTGATACCAAAACCTGGCAGAGACACAACAAAAACAGAAAATTTCAGGCCAATACCCCGATGAACATCAATGTGAAAATCCTCAAGAAAATTCTGGCAAACTGAATCCAGCAGGACATCAAAGAGCTTATCCACTACAATCAAGTGAGCTTCATCCCTGGGATGCAAGGCTAGTCAACATATACAAATCAATAAACGTACTCCATCACATAAACAGAACCAATGACAAAAACCACATGATTATCTCAATAGACAATAGATGCAGAAAAGGCCTTCAATAAAATTCAACACCCCTTCATGCTAGAAACTCTCAATAAACTGGGTATTGATGGGCTGTATCTCAAAATAATAGGAGATATTTATGACAAACCCACAGCCAATATCATACTGAATGGACAAAAGCTGGAAGCATTCCCTTTCAAATCTGGCACAAGACAAGGATGCCCTCTCTCACTACTCCTATTCAACATAGTATTAGAAGTTCTGGCCAAAGCAATCAGGAACAGAAAAAAGTAAAGAGTATTCAAATAGGAAGAGAAGTCAAATTGTCTCTGCTTGCAGATGACATGATTTTATTTTTAGAAAACCCCATCATCTCAGCCCAAAATCTCCTTATGCTGATAAGCAACTTCAGCAAAGTCTCAGGATACAAAATCAATGTGCAAAAATCATAAGCATTCCTATACACCAATAACAGACAAGCAGAGAGCCAAATCATCAGTGAACTCCCATTCACAATTGCTACAGAGAATAAAATACCTAGGAATACAACTTACAAGGGCTGTGAAGGACCTCTTCAAGGAGAACTACAAACCACTGCTCAAGGAAATAAGAGAGAACACAAACAAATTGAAAAACATTTCATGCTCATGGATAGGAAAAATCAATATCATGAAAATGGCCATACTATCCAAAGTAATTTATAGATTCAATGCTATCCCCATCAAGCTGCTACTGACTTTCTTCACAGAATTAGAAAAAACTACTTTAAATTTCATATACAATCAAAAAACAGCCCATATAGCCAAGACAATCCTAAACAAAAAGAACAAAGCTGGAGACATCACGCTACCTGACTTCAAACTGCAGTAACCAGAACAGCATGGTACTGGTACCAAAACAAAGATATAGACCAATGGAACAGAACAGAGGCCTTGGAGGTAATGCCACACATGTACAACCATCTGATCTTTGACAAACCTGACAAAAACAAGCAATGGGGAAAGGATTCCTTATTTAACAAATGATGTTGAGAAAACCGACTAGCCAATGCAGAAAACTAAAACTGGATCCCTTCCTTACACCATATACAAAAATTAACTCAAGATGGATTAAAGACTTTAACATAAGACCTAAAATCATGAAAACCCTAGAAGAAAACCTAGGCAATACCATTCAGGACAAAGGCATGGGCAAAAACTTCATGTCTAAAATACCAAAAGCAATGACAACAAAAGCCAAAATTCACAAATGGGATCTAATTAAACTAAAGAGTTTCTGCACAGCAAAAGAAACTATTATCAGAGTGAACAGGCAACCTACAGAATGGGAGAAAATTTTTGCAATGTACGTATCTGACAAAGGGTTAATATTCAGAATCTACAAGAAACTTAAACAAATTTACAAGAAAAAAAACAACACCACCAAAACATGGGCAAAGAATATAAACAGACACTTCTCAAAAGAAGACATTTATGTGACCAACAAACATATGAAAAAAAAAGCTCTTCATCACTGGTCATTAGAGAATGTAAATCAAAAACACAATGAGATACCATTTCACATCAGTTAGAATGACAATCATTAAAAAGTCAGGAAACAACAGATGCTGGAGAGGATGTGGAAAAATAGAAACGATTATTGTTTTTTAGATAGAGTCTCACTCTGTCGCCAGGCTGGAGTGCAGTGGCGTGATCTCAGTTCACTGCAACCTCTGCCTCACAAGTTCAAGCAATTCTCCTGGCTCAGCCTCCCGTGGTGGCTGGTGCTACCATGCCCAACTAATTTTTGTAGTTTTAGTAGAGATGGGGTTTCACCAGGTTGGCCAGGATGGTCTCAATCTCTTGACCTTGTGATCTGCCCACCTTGACCTCCCAAAGTACTGGGATTACAGGCATGAGCCCCCACGCTGGGCCAGGAACACTTTTACACTGTTAGTAGGAGTATAAATTAGTTCAACCGTTGTGGAAGACAGTGTGGTGATTCCTCAAGGATCTAGAACCAGAAATACTATTTGACCCAAAAATCCCATTACTGGGTATATACCCAGAGGATTACAAATCGTTCTATTATACAGACACATGCACACATTTATTTATTGCATCACTATTCGCAATAGCAAAGATTGATGGGCATTTGGTACCAACCCAAATGCCCATCAATGGTAGACTGGATAAAGAAAAGGTGGCATATATACACCATGGAATACTATGCAGCCATAAAAAAAAGAGTTCATGTCCTTTGCAGGGATATGGATGAAGCTGGAAACCATCAATCTCAGCAAACTAACACAGGAACAGAAAATCAAACACTGCATGTTTTCACTCAGAAGTGGGAGTTGAACAATGAGCACACATGGACACAGGGAGGGGAACATCACACACCAGGGCCTGTTGGGTTGGGTGGCTAGGGAAGGGATAGCTTTAGGAGAAATGCCTGATGTAGATGACGGGTTGATTGATGCAGCAAACCACCATGGCACTAGTACACCTGTGTAACAAACCTGCACATTCTGCACATAAAGTACAATAAAGAAAAAAAAAAAGAATCCTAACATAGAACCTAAACAAGGCTAAGTTCAAAATTCCAAAACTAGTCACAACTAAACTAAGAGACCAACTCAGTTAGGATAACCATTTGGGGGCCAGTAAAATAACTGGTGTTTCCACCATTTCTTTTTAGATTAAGGAAATTTAGACACTATTCTTCCTAATTAAGCCACTGCTATTGCATAAAGACGCCAGAAAGAACCTAATGAACAGTTCAAAAGCAAACTGAGCATTAAGTTTGTACCAGAGTATGGAGCAATACTGTGCGCACTAGAGTCTATGCAGGTTGATGGCTTCTGTCTCTCAGCTGAAGGCTCTTTACGAGAAATGGTCCTCTCTCCATTTCTGATGCAAGTTCTCCTCTACTTTCTTCACACATGTATGTACACACAGGCATGCGTGCACACACACACACACACACCTTACAATTTACACAGGGGAAAGAGGTAATTTGACCTACGTTAACCAATAAGGTACTATTCCACTAAAATTGCAATCACAGAGTAAAAAACCAAATCCAATAGATTTTAAAAGACTGGACAACAAAAGCTATGCATAGCAGACTATCTATAGATGAAAAGCCCAGAGGCTCGCAAGCTTACCAAGAATAACCCTGCTTGGGGAAACGTCCAAGCCTCCAGAAGGTGTTGTAGCTAAATGAGACCAGCTCGCCAGGAAATCTGGTGGCAATGTGGTGAGTCTGTTGCTTGATAAATCCAAGTAGGCAAGGTTCTTCAGATACTTGAGTGCATCGTTTGGCACACTGGTTATTCTGTTATTGTGCAAATCCAGGGTCCTCAGAAGGGGCATGTCCAGCAGAGACACCCAAGGAAAAGCAGCCAGAGAATTTCCATCCAAACGCAACTCATGCAGCTGCTTCAGGTTGTAAAAACTGCTGGGGTCAATGCTGGCCACGGAATTGTAAGTCACCCAGAGGTACTGAAGCTCTACTAGGTAATAGAAGGCCTCTGCAGAGATTCTGCGGATAACAGTCTTCTCTATACGAAGCTTCACGGTATCCACGGGGAGGTTTGTAGGGAGCTCATTCATATCCATGTCGTTACATAGCACCAACCTAGTGTCACAAAAAGAGCAATGTGAGGAAACTCACTCTCCAACACCCATTTGAAAAAAAATATTTCTCATTTGAAAAATATCAATTTTCAGCCAGGCAGTGGCTCATACCTGTAATCCCAGCACTTTGGGAGGCCAAGATGGGCAGATCACTTGCAGTCAGGAGTGGAGACCATCCTGGCCAATATGGTTAAACCCCACCTCACTAAAAATACAAAAATTAGCTGGTCGTGGTGGCAGGCACCTGTTGTCCCAACTACGCAAGAGGCTGAGGCAGGAGAATCGCTTGAACCCAGGAGGTGGAGGTAGCAGTAAGCCAAGATCGCACCCCGGCACTCCAGCCTGGGTGACAAAGTGAGACTCCATCTCAATATATATAAATTTTTATTCCCTATTAGTGTTCAAAAAATATTTATTCTGGTTAACCTGTTCTCTAATAGTGCATCATCTTCTTCTTCATTGTGACAACAGCTACTTTTGGGTTGAACCATATAAAATAGCCAAGATAGTAAAAAATAATCAAATATCAGCAATTTCATGTGGTTCAACCTAACATTTATGAAGATCTTCACATGCAAGCCCTGCTCAACAAGGTCACATCCATGACTTTATTTAATCATCACAACAACCCCAGGAGGCAGATATTGGGTAACAGGTAAAAGCGCCTTAGAGTCACACTGATCTTGGATCAAAACAATCCAGGGTCTAAGGTCTGCCACCTCTTCTGTGGTCATGCAAAGCCACTTCACCAGTGTCTCAACCTCATTTTCCCATATGGCACTGTTATGAGATTAGTTACAATGGATGTGAAACTTTACAACATATTATATACTCGGTAGGTGTTTGCTGTTACTGTCAATAACCTCGGTTTTACATGGAAAGTAACTGAGGCCCACCAACATTCAGTAACTTCCCAAGGTCACCCAACTAGTGGGTTTTGCAGCCACCTTTCAAAACCACTTCTGTCCATCTTCAAAGTGCACCTGTTTAGGAAATGGCCCATTTTAAAAGAATCGCCTGTTAAAATCATAAATCAATACTTTTCAAGAGGATAATTTATTTAGGTGAAAGAAAAAAACAAGTGTTCACAGTACACATTTAAAGTTGAGCTCTGTTTTAACAATGTGACTTGCACATTGCTTTCTGCTTAAGGAATAAACCAGAAATTAGGAGTTGACCTTGAGCAAATCACATTTTGATCTTGTTTGTTGGCACATATAAAACAGACATAGAAAAACAACATTGTGCCAGCTGGGCAAGGTGGCTGTAATTCCAGCACTTTGGGAGGCCAAAGCAGGTGAATCACTTGAGGTCAGGAGCTCGAGACCAGCCTGGCCAACATGGGGAACCCTCATCTCCACTAAAAATACAAAAATTAGCCAGGTGTGGTGGTGGATGCCTGTAATCCCAGCTACTCCAGAGGCTGAGGTGGGAGAATCGCTCGAACCCAGGAGGCAGAGTTTGCAGTGAACCAATATTGCGCCACTGCGCTCCAGCCTGGGTGACAGAGTAAGACTCCATCTCAAAATAGAAAAAAAAGAAAGAAAGAAAGAAAAAAGAAAAACAACACTGTCCCATGTGTAAATTTAAAGTATGAGGAATCTGAGAATTTAGATTCATTTTAGCCTGGAAAAGACCTATTTGTCTCCTATGATATACTCATCTGAATTACTAAAAATGAACAATAAGAAGTTTTGCAAAATATACAAAATATAGCATGCAATAAATTCAGTACATAATTGCAATAAAAAGCGTGAAAAAAATTTCACCCTTTAGTGAAAATCATATTAAATCGGTGGCTCTGAAAAGCTGCTCATAACGTATACAAATGTAAGCAGCATAAAGCTGCAATGTGTTATCTCCTTTCTATAACTTCAGGAGAAGACCTCATGGAATCTTTCAGATACTCTAGGGATATCTCTTACTTTTCATCTCTATTTTGTATCACAGATTTCAGTGCTACTTTATACCAGTTGCTACTCATTAAGAAAGTATTTCAGCATGCTATCATAGAAGAAAGCCTAGTGTGTACACAAAAAGATCTAGCATCTTTACCAACTTAGCTACATCCACACAATTATATAACCTAGGGCAAGTCACTTGGTCTCCGTACAGTTTAGTTTCTTCATGTATAAACTGACAAGGGGTTGAACTAGATTATTTCTTACCAGAGCTAATATTCTATAATTTTTATAAAATCCATCAATAATGGGGTCACCACGGAGCAGGAAACATTTCTGTGATTGTTTCTCAAAAGTAGCCTGGCCTGATCTTCACTGCTGAACATCTCTGGGCAAGTAGGTCTTTAATTTGCTACATTCTCTTTATCATCTTTAACCACCCAGTGAATATCTCAAAAAATACCAAGAATTGGTTAAGTAAAATTTACACAATAACAAGATAAGCTTTTAACAAATATGTCTTAGTTATTATTTATTTGTTTAAAGTTATAAGACGTAAGTAAATTGGGCAATTCTTTTCACAAATTATTTTGTCTAAGACTCACATTTACTTCAACCAAGTCACAAATAGTCTGATTTTGTTATTAAATACCCTCTCAAAAAAAATTCAAGTTCTACCGTGTTTAGCTAGCAAGAGTTCTGTTTTGCATTTCACATATCTAAAAGGTCTCATGCACATTATAAGCAAATAACTATTCTCATTACACAAGTAGATGCTAAAGCAACCTAGAGATTGAATAACTTCTGAGGATCCTTCAGTGTCTGCAACAGACAGTATTTTTTTTTTCAATCTTCTTTACTTTGTAAATTCAATCAGCTTAAAATGAAATATTCTATTAACCTCTCTAAGTTTACGCTTGAGATCTTCCTTCCTGCCAAATAATCCTCAAAGGAAGTGGAGAGCCCCGAAAGCAAAGGATGTGGGCATGTCCCTCAGCTCCTGTTCAGCCCTGCCCTCTTAGGCTTTCTATAATCAAGGGCTGAGCTGGCCACACACCTTTAAATGGTTTGACCTCAAGCAACATTTTGCGAACATGAGCATAAAAAAAAATTTGGTAACACAGAATGTGTTTAGAAATTTCCAATAACTTGAGGCCTTTAAGAGTCAAACTGCTCGAAATGAAAACAGTGAAGGAGTAGGTGACCAGTATTAATACAATGAAGTTAAAGTTTATGGATATTAAACCTTCTCTTCTGTGATTTCTGATCCTCAAACATTTGCTTTCAAAAGTAGGCTCTCTGGTTTGGGTCCTTTTTGTCAAAATAATGAGAACATTTAGTAGCAAGCAGAGGAGCATACCTTGATCCCAAGCCGTCATTTCTGCCGTGATAATCACAGGTGCACTGTGAAGGACACGAAGAGCCCACTCCTTCCAAAATGCTAAGGACAATGCACAGACATGCAAAGAGATGCATCACTCCTTTCAGAGGTTATTTAAACAAAAGGTACCAAATCCTAAGCATTCAGAAACTGGTGTGCCCGGAATGCAAACAGCCATTTAGTAACAGCAGATTACACAGGATTAGCTGAGATCTGTAGTTACTTAACCTTCAAGTGTATCCTGCAAGAGATCAATTGACCCAGCCTTTGAATACATTTTCAGCAAAGTAACACATTCTAAGGAAAATGAAAATCAAAACACATGACAAGCAATTTCAATAGTTACCCATAGCTTGATTTGCAAGGAAATGCCTATTAAATCCCTTTCCTCTGGATGTACTTGCCGCTGCACCTTCAAAATATACTTAATGTTAAAAGTAATTTGATCCTGGCAGATGCTAGAAAATTCTGTAGATTATTTACCTGTTATAACATTATAAAACGTTTTACATTTGGTTTTTGCCAGCATGCATAACTAATTGTTTTACAAAATTTAGTTTTAAAAATAGAGGCACATGACAAAAGAATGATTTAGAAAAGAGTTATTGATGTTGCCACATACTGGTTACCTCTAAAAATAAAGTAAAACAAGTCCATTGCATAGATTTTAAGGGGAAACTGCTTCAACCAACCACTCCTGTGGCAGGACTAAGTTCTCCAGTGAGAATGTGTTCTAAGACTCTTCTAGATCATCTCAGTGTGAGGAAGGTTTATCCCAGCACAATTATTTTTAATGCAGGCAACTATCTCTGTTCAATAGTTTCCCAAGTTATCTGCATCAAAGCCATCTTTGAAGATCGACTCTAATTCTTTTAGCTATATTAGGCTCTATCAGAAAATATGAATTATATGTAATTAAATTTAAAACTATCTCCACACACATAAAATGAGAATTCACAGAGTCACTCAAGGATTTAAGTAATAAATATATGTCATTTAACCTTCTTAGTGGTCCCTTCTAACCATCCTCCTTAAACTAAAAACTTTTTAATAAGAAAATTAAATCTATAAAAATAAGCATATTACAGGAAATGTTGAAAACTAATAGAATTCATATAAGAACCATAGTCTGACAAACTGCGCTCAATTAAAATAAAACACTGCAGGTTTCCAGATTCTGCACAATTCATTTGTTCCTCAAATATTTACTGAGTACTTACTCTCTGCGGAGCACTGAGGGATACAAAGATGAACAAGACAGTTATTACACATAAAGAACTCACATGAGAAAAAGAGGAACAGAGTACTCAAGAAGGACAAGAAAAGAACATCAAACTCAGCTTATGTTAGTCAAGCAAGACTTCCTAAGGTGGGTGGTGCCTGGCTGCCGTTTACAGGGTGCATGATGATGCATTATGGGAAAATCCAAAAAGGGGCATTGCAAGCAAAGGGAATAGTGGAAACAAAGGGAGAGAAGAGAGAATGAGTGTATTGTCTTCAGAGAACTGCAAGCACTTCTTGTTGCTCAGGCATAAGATTTTGAGGCAGGAAGTTAAAAAAGATAAAGCTGGAGAGGTAAGTGGGGGTGATGTTTTCAAGGAAACCCTTCGACTGGATGGAGAGCTTACACTCAGCCTATAGGCAATGGAAGCAATAAAAGTTAGACTTGGGAGTGGCACATCAGCTTATCCTTTTAGGAAGAATTCTCTGGTGGCTGTGTGGAGGAAAGGTTTAGATAGAGCAAGCAGCAAGAAAGGAGGAGGCTTCGGGTGGATGTCTGTGATCATAGTCCAGGAGAGCAGCCATCAGGCTACAGCCTTGACTGCTGTGCTGGAAATAGTTAGGATAATGCAGCTTCAGGAAACATCCAGGTGAGAGAAATGATTGATTAGGTGTAGGGATGAAGAAGGGATTTAAGAACAACCCTCAGGTTTCCCAGTGCTGGAGATGCAGTGAGAGGTGATGGCCCTAACTGAGTTTTTGAGCACAAGAGGAAGGAGAAATAGGATGGGTAAAGCTCTGATCGCCAAATGACCAAGAGATTTTTTGAATTATTAATTTCACGGATGTCAAGACTTACACAGAGGCAAGATGTGCCAAATTGAGTATAGAATCATTGTTTAAAGATAAAAACATCAGAAATTAGTAAACTAAGAGGTCAGAGGGAACTATGTAACCAAAGCCAGGTCTTCCTAGTTTTATCATATAAGCAAATTAATTGATAAGATAGCATTGAAATATAAGTACTGTACACCATTGAACTCCTTTATATTTCTTATCACTGGAAATGAGTTCATGGCCTTGCAAACTGGAACTCTTGAGTCCATTTTTCTAGACGTTATTACAGATGTTGTCCTGGCCTTTTAATGGCTTTGGGACTTTGGGCACAGACTTCCCTATACTCTTCCTGTAAAAAGGTTCAGCTACAGTAGACAGGATGAGCAAAGAGCTAGCGACACAAAGCATTCGAAACTCTCTGGGAACACTAAACATTTTATTTAGCCATGAAGAAAGACAAAAAGCTGAAAAGTCCCTTTGGGGGGTATGTTAAAGAGGGCCTTGAAAATCCAGCTGAGGGGTTTATACTTAACTTGGTGGGCAAGTGAAGGTTTTCTAGCTAAAGACTTTGGACACTGGAACTTTATTTTTAAAAGGTTAGCTATGAAGTTGTATTGATTTGCAATTGTATGTATTGATTGCTGTGGGAAAGTCAGAAAGTGAGGAGATAAGGTAGGAGATTACTATAGCAGTTTACCTTTCCATATAAATAGAGGACTGTATACATAAAATTAATGCCTTGAGTGTACTTAATATGCTAAAGAGACAATTTACAAGGAGATAAAATAGAGATTAAAAAATACAATATGCAAAGATAAACAGCCTCACCAGCAGTTAAAGAAATGTGAAGTAAAATGAATTTGAGTTTGAGTATATAAGTCATAATTTAAATATATACAGCACTATTCGCAGGAATATGCAGTGAAAAGCTCACTTAGATACTGCCAGTATCAGTGTAAACTAATTCTATCTTTCCAGAAAGCAAACTAGCAACAATATAGTGTTTTTGTATTTGTATCTAGTATTTCTAATCTGAAAAAAACCACTCAAATAGAATAACTTCTCCAAAAGAAAAAATATATTTATACTAAAATGTTCTCAGTGATACATCCATGAAACTAAAAATTGGAAAGCAATTTAATTGTCTGCTATATAAACAATGGTATATTGTACTATGCTTAATAGTCATTTAAAATGACAAATATGTGAGTCTCCAAATTCATTCAACATTGAAAAAATATTTATTGACTACCTACTACATACCAGACAGCACTGGGTACATGTGCTAAGGATCCATCAGAGAGCAAACATAAAAATCTCCACTCTCATTGATGTTAACTCTGGTGGCAAATATATGGAGTAGATATGCACAAAATGATAAGAAAATTTTCAGAAAACATAAAAATATGCACAGAGGTTATAATGCCATATTATATATATATGAATTGACATTTTATTTAGAAACCATCATGTTTAATATTCATTTGATTATTTTTATTTAATAACATAAGTTAATAATTGATTTAAATACTAAAATGTTGAAATTCAAAAATGCTTTCTATTCTAACAGGGAACATCCAATATAATTTCATAATTATCTAGAATTATTAATTATTATTGTTTTTATTAATTTATTCTAACATTAAGTAAGTGACTGCTTCTATTCCAATGGAGGAGCCAGCGAAGTTAAAGGTCATCAGTGCAGTGTAATGCCTGCCATAATAGGGAGAAAGACAAGGGGCCTTAACCTCGGATCCCTAATTCATCCAAGGAGATAAGCAATAAGTTGACATATCAGGATATACAGAAGCATGCACTACAGCAGCCAAGGTACAAGCAAAAGAAGCATGAGTGCACCTGAGGAACTTACAGTCTAACAGGACAATGATCTATGTCTGCATGTGATCTAAATTGACTCATATTTAAAATAAAAGCATTGCCAAAAACTACAATGTTTTGATAGTATGTCCTTTTCTCTCCTTTCAGATTCTTCCAGAAGCCAGTGGGTTTTGAGATATATCCATTGGTAAAACACTTGTCACAGGCATTGTTTGGTGAGTCTGACATTTTAACATGGCAAGCATCGCCCTCCGAAACCTACAATTAAAAAAAAAAAATCTGACATTAACTCATAATGATTTGAAACTTCTAAAGCATTTTAAAAATGGCTGATACCACTACTGTTAATTTACATCTCTGGATAGATTGCTGCCTCCAACTTTAATATATCCTGTTGAGAACCTTTATAAATACATAAAGTATATGGTACATTTAAAGACCAATTTTGTCTGTTGAGTCTATAGATTTCCTGTTGAGAACCTGTATAAATATATAAGGTATATGGTACAGTTAAAGGCCAATTTTGTATTGTTGATTCTATAGATTGAAGACATCTAATAAAAGTAAATATTTATATATATTTAAAAGGATGCTTCTAATGTCAGATGCCATGAGTTGTTTATTTGAACTAACAACATGTGTTTCATGCCTCTGTTCTTCCCAGCAAAGGCCAGTTGAAATTAAGGGAGCTTGGGAATGACTGAATTTTCCAAAAGAACTACCAGCAGATTCTGATTTTAAAATGTGTTCTTCATTCTTCTTATGTGGTCTGTTTGGTCTGTAAAATTTTGTTTCTTCACATACCTGTAGCTAAAGCTGTTTCCCAAACATTGTCATTCCAGGATAAAATTACCTAACTTCTGCTGAAATTTTCTGGCCAAATATTTAAGCACAGTAGATTGATTTATTCCATCTTTCCAGCAGTAACACAAATGAAACAATCTAAACTTCATGGAGAAGGCAGGAAAGGAACACTTTGCTGAGAAATCCAAAAAAGAGAGGAGGGAAGAATTGTCTAGTATCCTGAAGCCTTTTATGTTGGCACTGAACTTTTCTCTTGTATTTGAATGATATGTCTTCTTTCTTGTAAACATACATCTATACTACCCACCAAGGGAGCCCAATATTGCCTTGTCTATTTTCCAGTAATAGAATAACTCTGTTCTTTGGAAACCACTATTCCATGTATTTGGGGGTGGGGAAACCATTTGAACCAAGCTAACCACTAACATTCCAGGAGCTTTTCTGCCAGAGAGCTATCTGAGATGCATTGGCATTTGGGGATGCTTAGCTGGTAGAACTTTGGTCTTGAGTTGCCCACGATAATCTCTGCCACTATTTGGGAAGAGTCTGTTACAAATCTGGAGCTCTAGACATTCAAGGTCCTAGATGCTGCTCCAGTCACATGAGCCAAATAACCTTTATGCTAGATGAAAGTGGGTTTCTGTCACTTCTCTCCCAAAAAGTCTTAACATTCTTTTTATATCAGTTTTATTTTGTATTTGCAAGCATTTTAGACATTACTTACTTTTTATTAGCAACCACATAAATGCAGGGGTTGTAGAATGTAGAAGATTTTGCAAACAATGGAGCTATGATGGCCATGGCAGGAGGAATATTCTTTGGGTCACCAAAAGAAGCCCATAAGCACACGATGGAATAAGGGGACCATGCCACCAGAAACATGCAGATCATTATCACAGACATCTGTAAAGAAATAAATATCCACCAAGCCCAATATTTAGAAAATTTAAATATAAATATATCTAAAGTAGGGTAAAAATCTATCTCAGATGGAATTTGAATATGTTTATGTTGTTGAGATGACATAAAGGAAATAGCTGAGTTTTTGCCTTCAATGTTCTTTGTTCAGGTGCTTGAAGTCATCTGTGATGATGAGACCTTGAGAAATGGATATATCAAGAATATATAACATTGCTTTTAAGAATGTTACACACATGTAAAAGATGCCCTTTTTCTTTCTGTATGCTAGGGGAGAGTATAAAAGCTAACTTGAATGAAAGACTGATGAAAACCCACCCCACCCCACTTCAAGTCATTGTGCTGTGAACTGCTGGCATGGCTATTACTATTATTATCACCATCATTATTATTTGCTCTTACTGGAATTATCTGCTAAACTAAAATATAACTTTCTAACTTTCTAAACTCAATCTGGAAACAAATACAATCCTATCTTGAGCTCCATGAATTCTAACACAGGCCATTTCTGCTGGATAAATGTTATACACAGTGCAGATAATTTTGTAAGGGAGCTTTCTTGTATCCTGTTTCAATGGAAAAATTATATTTTTATATTGCTTCTCTGGATTGCCTGCTAAAATTATGGAATAGAGGTTAAAGAAGACATAAACCCATGAGGACAGAGAATCAGAGATTAGACAATATATTTTTTTAATGGAAACAACGACCATTGAACAAGTGGCAAATTACGTAAGAAACATGAAAATAATTTTATAAAAAAGTAAATAAATAATGTTAAAAAGCCAACTATGAGGGAAAACCAGATACAGATCAATCCCTACTACAGAGCTACAGAAAGTCTAGTAACAAAAGGTACCAGAAAACTCTGGATGTGGGGGTGCCTTTGGAGCTCAAGATAGAACTGGTTGAAATCTACAAAGAAAAGAAAATAGTTAGACTTCCAAATTTTTCTCCCTGTACACTCAGTCTACTGAATAACTTCCTCTTCCTCTCCCTAGAAGACTTCCAGAGGCTCAGTATATATATTTTTAAAAAGGCTAATTTGGTTAACTCAGGACACAGGGACACCAGGTTCAGCTAAGCACTTTAGTACTGTACTGAAAAGAGGGGTATCTGTGTGCTGACCACTCCCTGCACTGAGTGTGAAAAAACTTGGAGATAGACTTTTACCTCCTACCCAGAAACATGAAAGAAACTGATCTGCCCAGAATAAAATACCTAGACAGTTAGAAATTCCCCCAAATTTCGATTCCATCATTTTAGAAGGCAATCAGGAGGAAGCAACACAAAAAATATAATTTTCCATTTAAACAAGGTACAAGAGAGCTTCTTTACAAAATTATCTGCATTGTATGTAATATATTTCCAGCAGAAACGGCCTGTGCTAGAATTCACTGAGCTCAAGAGAGGATATTTGTTTCCAGACTGAGTATGGAAGTTAGAAAGTTGTTGTTGTTGTTGTTGTTTTGATTAGCAGATGACAGTGATGATGATCATAATAATAATAATACCTCCAGAGACAATTAGAAATTCTCCCAAAAGAAACATTTCACTGAGCATCTCCATACTTACAATCAACATTTTTAATGCATCACTCTTAAGTAAGAGCGGACAATCATTGACCACCAGACATTAAGAAAACTTTTATGGTGACAGGCAAAGAAAAAAAAACAGTGCAGGAACTGAGGGGAAACAAAAATATGTGGTAAACAGAAGGAAATATAAATGTATACATAATATCACAGAAATAACAGAAGATATACATCCATAAAACAAGGAGAGAATAGAGTGTAAAATAGCTGTTTTAGCAATAAAAATGGTTTTTAACTCTAGAAGAGAACCTACGCAATACCAGTCAGGACATAGGTACAGGCAAAGATTTCATGATGAAGATGCCAAAAGCAACTGCAACAGAAGCAAAAATTGACAAATAAGATCTAATTAAACTAAAGAGATTCTGTACAGCAAAAGAAACTATAAATAGAGAAAACAGACAACCTACAGAATAGAAGAAAATTTTTGCAATCTGTTCATCTGACAAAGGTCTAACATCCAGCATTTATAAGGAACTTAAACAAATTTATAAGAAAAAACAAGCAAACCCATTAAAAAGTAGGCAAGGGATATGAACAGGCATTTCTCAAAAGAAGACATACATGCAGCCAACAAACATGAAAAAAAAAAGCTCATCACTGATCATTAGAGAAATGCAAATCAAAACCACAATGAGATACCATCTCACACAGTCAGAATGGCTATTAATAAAAAGTCAAAAAATAACAGATGCTGTTGAGGCTGTGGAAAATACTATGACACTGTTTGGTAGGAGTATAACTTAGTTCAACCATTGTGGAAGATTGTGTGACAATTCCTCAAAGACCTAAAGACAGAAATTCCATTTGATCCAGCCATTATTTTACTGAGTATATACCCAAAGGAATATAAATTATTCTATTATAAAGACACATGCACGTGTATGTTTATTGCAGCATTATTCACAATAGCAATCATGGACATGACATGGAATGAACCTAAATTCTCATCAATGATAGACTGGATAAAGAAAATGTGGTACATATACATCATGGAATACCAGGCAGCCATAAAAAAGGAATAAGATCATGTCCTTTGCAGAGACATCAGTGGAGCTGGAGGCCACTATCATTAGCAAACTAATGCAGGAACAGAAAACCAAAGACCAGATGTTCTCACTTATAAGTGGGAGCTAAATGATGAGAACACATAGATACACGAGGGCAAGAAACACACACTGGGGCCTGTCAGAGGGCTGAGGGAGGGAGGAGGGAGAGGATCAGGAAGAATAGCTAACGGATGCTGGGCTTAAACCTGGGATGATCTGTGCGGCAAACCACCATGGCACATGTTTACCTGTGCAACAAACCTATATATCCTGTACATGTACCCCTGAACTTAAAACAAAAGTTGGAAATTTTTTTTAAAAATGGTTTTTATCCTATCTGTAAAAGTTGAGAGTAGAATGTTAAAAATGTAACAGAAATGTTGTGTGATATTATCAGACTGGGATCAGGGGAGGTTAATCAGGTAAATTATCTAAGTGCAGGGTCAGATCCTGTTTTTATTTAAAATTTGTATTTTGTTCAACATAATTTTTATACTAATATTGTTTTGTTTTGTTTTGTTTTTTTGGTTTTTTGTTTGAGACAGAGTTTTGCTCTTGTTGCCCAGGCTGAAGTGCAATGGCGCAATCTCGACTGACTGCAAACTCCACCTCCCAGGCTCATGCAATTCTCCTGGCTCAGCCTCACAAGTAGCTGGGATTACAGGCATGCACCACCATGCTTAGCTAATTTTGTATTTTTAGTAGAGATGGGGCTTCTCCATATTGGTCAGGCTGGTCTCAAACTCCCAACCTCAGGTGATCTTCCTACCTCGGCCTCCCAAAGTGCTGAGATTATAGGCGTGAGCCACCACACCCAGCCCAATATTGTTTTTTTAAGTACTAGATTAAACTACTTTTTTTAATTAATGAATTTTTTAGTGCTTGCTTGAATTTTGCACCCAAGGGTTGGCCTTCACTTTCCTCACTCTTATGCTAGATCTAGATACGGTTGAGGAAATCTCCCAGAAAGTAGAAACAAAAACAAACACCACAAAAGAAACAAACAAAAATAGACAATATGGGAGATAAAATTTAAGAAAATTAGTAGATAAATCTAGAAGATGAAATATCCAAATAAAAGAATTCCAGGTAAAGAGGAAAGAAAAAACACAGGGACGGGAATCATCAGAAAAATCATACTAGAAATCTCCTAGAAGAGGAAGACCAGAGTCTCTACCTGAAAGTACTCACCAAGTACCTAGCACCGGATAAATACTCATACCAAGGCCCATCAGTTTACATTTTCAGAAAACTGGAGACATAGAGAAGATCCTACAAGCTTCCAGAGAGAACCCACAGATCACCACAGAGCATCAGCCACTAGAATGCCATCAGCTTTTGTAGCAGCAGTGCTGGAAATTAGGAGACTATAGAGCAATGCCTTCAAAACTCTGAATATTACTTTTGCCCCTAGAATTCTAGACCAGGCAAACAATCAGTCATATATGATAGTAAAATTAAGGCATTTTCAGTTATGCAAAGTCTTAAAAAATTTACCTCTCCTGTAACCTCAGGAATTAATTGGAGAATGTGTTCTACCAAAACAGAGAAAATAAACTAAGAAGAAAGAAAAAGGAAGACAAGCATTCCGGAAAACAGGGGATTTGATCCTGGAAGGAGGCAAAAGCATCCTGAGCTGGTGATGAAGGGAGACCTGAGGATGTTGGCTTCCTGAGCAGCAGTCCTCAGGAGAAACCAATTCAAACCAGAGCAAAAGGCCCCAGGGAACCAGGAGGATGGCTTCAAGAAGAGGATAAAGTGCATCACTTCTGTGGTGTGTTTAAACATACTGAGAGCACAGAAAGAGCCTCTTTAGCCAGATATTGTTAACATTATACTGACAGGGAAGGAGAGAGAAAGGTGTGGAGGAAGAGTTGGGCAAGCAAGTAGGTGGTGTAAGAGAATAAAACTTCATCATCCATAGTAGGAAATCAAGAGATGATGGCAAACAAAAATACCCAAAAGAGCAAACAGCATATCATTCAGAAATAAGGAGGCAAGTGGATGGGCGCAGTGGCTCATGACTGTAATCCCAACATTTTGGGAGACCGAGACGGGTGGATCACCTGAGGTTACGAGTTTGAGACCAGCCTGGCCAACATGGTGAAACCCTGTCTCTACTAAAAATACAAAATAATTAGCTGGGCGTGGCAGCAGATGCCTGTAATCCCAGCTATTCAGGAGCCTGAAGCAGGAGAATCACTTGAACCCAGGAGGCAGAGGTTGCAGTGAGCCTAGATCATGCCATTGCACAGCAGCCTGGACAATAAAAGCGAAACTCCATTTCAAAAAAAAAAATGAAAACAAAAACAAAAAAAGAAATGAGGCAAACACAGAAGAAAAAGCGGAGGAGTGAGAATTGGAGATGAGGGAGAGAAGACTGTGGTGGTACCAGGGACTCTCAACTATGAGTGGGTAATAGCTCCATGACAATTTTTCAAGGAATTTGACCTCTTACCTTTGTTACATCTATCTGATCTGACCAGTCTCTGTTGAGGGACTCAGTGCAGTCACTGGTAGTGTGATGTTTGATGAATAGTGTGACATGGTAATAGCAGTAAAACATCACTGTCAAGGGCACAATAAAATTTATTGCAATAACTGCCATGGTGTAAGACACAAAAGATCTGAAAATAAGAAAAGGCAATCATGATTGCCATTTAATGTACTAAATGGGGAAAGAGGAAAGAGGAGATAATTATTTAAAATAACACTCGTAGTCATTATATTGTTAAGCAGTTTAAGAAGTATATTTGACTTTTAGTTCATACAGTTAAGAAGTATATTTGACTAATTTTGAATTAGTTCCCAAGAATTGGGAAACTATGGACTATAGGCCTATTCTAGCCCATCACTCATCTTTGTAAATAAAGTTTTATTGAAACACAGCCATGTGCCCTCATTTACATATTGGCTATGGCTGCTTTTACAGGATGATGTCAGAGTTGAAGAGTTGTGATAGAGACCATCTGGCCTATAGAGCCTAAATTATTTACTTTAAATTGTTTTCAAGTCAGAATCTCGCTCTGTCACCCAGGCTGGAGTACAGTGGTGCAATCACGTCTCACTGTAGCTTTAAACTCCCCAGCTGAAACCAATCTCCACTTCAGCCTGCTGAGTAGCTGAGACCACTGGCTTACACCACGACATCCAGCTAATTTTTTTCCTCTTTTTTTTTTTTTTTTTTTTTTTTAAGACAGGTTCTCAATATGTTGCCCAGGTTGGTCTCAAACTCCTGGACTAAAGTGATCTTCCCACCCCAGCCTCACAGAGTGCCGGGATTACAGTCATGAACCCCTGTGCCCAGCCTTTACTTTTTGAATCTACAGAAAATACTTTAGATTTAGATCTGGTTTGAGATTTAGAAATTTTCTGGTTTGAGATTTTAGAAGTTTTTATGTCATCCTTCATTTCTTGTAATGAACTAAATTATCCTCTTGTTCCTGGAAAATTCACAGAAGCCTTACTAACTAGCAGGCAAATCTTTGCAGTGCTTCTACTTTTGCTGCGCAGTTCTCAGAATGTGCTTAAACACCAGACCATCCCAAAAAGACAGCAAGGAGGCAGCCTGGGCTCTTGCCAGAGCTGTACACTCTGTCTAGCTTCACTAACCCTTTCCCTGCTCATGATCCTACCTTTGAGAATGTGCAGATATTGGAAGGGTGATTGGTATCCTGCGTTGCTGCCTTAAGAGGGAACACTGGGCAGGAAGGAAGGAATGGGGTAAGGGAGAGAAAGGGAGCTGGAAGACCTTTACTTGCAAACAAGCGTAAGTCACTTTTCTCAATTCTGACTTTTGCTAGAATCACATCATTACTACCAAGTAAGCACTTTGCTGTCTCTGTATGAGGAACACATGATCTGAGCTTAAATTTGAAAGGGTGAGAAAATGTCTACCTTAGAAGCATTTGATTATAACATGTAAACTCGCCTCTTACCTATCATTTTTCCTCCAGTTTATGGTACAGGTAGCACCAGTAGGATCTGGGGCATAACTAGCCCACCCAACGATAGGCATCAAAGCCCAAAACAGGCCATTAATCCAGGCTCCCAGAATCATGATGATGTAAGTACTGGTGGTCATTCTTCTCCCTATTATCAAGTATAGAAAATACTAGCATCATTTGCCATTGATGGGACTCACTGTTTTAAACTTGCTTGATTCATAAGTGTTAGCAAGTAAATTCTTTACAGAGCACTTTAGTTGGCCTTAGGAGCCAAAACATGGATGCAACTCCAAATAAAAGTAATAAATATATTCTCCCTTTTTACCAAGCCTACCTACATAAGTTCACATTCTGGAAAAAATGACATTTAAGCTGAAACCTAAATGAGAAAAGAATCAACCAGAGGATAAGCAGGAAGAGGAACTTTCCAGACCTAGGAAAACAGCAAATACGAAGGCCTCGTTCTGGGCTTGGTCTGTGCCCCAAAGTGCGAGTGGCCTTATGAAATTTGGATTTTATTCTAAGTACAATAGGAAGCCATTGAAACATTTGAACAATTATTGCCAAAGAAATAAGATTGACCCTAACTACAAACCATTAGGTTTATATATTAGCATATATATATTAAGTGGTCATTAGTCAAGAAATGGATTCATTAAGAAAGCTGAGAAAAGTGCTATACCTATGTCAGGAAGGCAGATGGTCAGATATCGGTCCGCAGCCACGACCGTGAGTAATCCAATGCTTGCCATTCCAAAAAAAATATTCAATCCAGCATACACCTGAAAACCAAAATTGAAAAGACTCTACCATTCTAAACACCCTCCCAAGAAACATTTAGATTTTTGTACTGTTGTTAGAATATATCTCAAATATACTAAATGTTTTTTACTTTACTACTTTAAAATATATTTTCATTATCAAATTGTAACTTGTTTAATAAAAGAATTTATGGAAAGTAGTTTGTAATTTTATTAACTAAAATGAACCTTTTGAAAATTTTAAGACTTACAGTGAAATTTCTGTACAACACTCTATAAACAGAATGCAAAACAACCACAAACCAGCAAAAGACTAGTACTCTGAAGATGGGCAAGTCAACAGGAGGAAAAGACAACTCAATAGAAAAATGACCAGATGATGAATGGGTTATTCACACAAGCCTATTGGCATTTGAGTATTTATAACATTAGACATATGACCACAATAAATCTTCAAAAAAATACTGATTATCAGATGGCATTTCACACTCATGAAAATGAAAATTTAAAAGTCTGACAATCCCAAGTGTTAAGAAGAATGTGGGGTAATAGACGTTCTCATAATTTGAATAACTATTTTGGACAGCAATTTGGCTACTTCTGATAAAGTTCAAGATGAACATTCTCTACAACTTAATCATTCCACTCCTAGGCAATGTGTCTAGAGAAACTCACATATTGCAGAAGGAAACATATATAAGAACATTTACTGAAGTCTTGTCTGTGATAGAAAAAAAATGGGAACAAATGTCCTCTAAGAGTAAAATGAAAAAGTACATTTGGGCTATGTTCATAAAATGGAATATTATATAGCAGTTAAAATGAATGACTTACAGCCATATCCATCAACATAAACCTCAAAAACATAATATCTAACAATGAAAGGAAATTGCATAATGCAAACAATTGATATCATTTACACAAAACCTAAAGTATTCAGACAGTATCTGGTTTACATGCACACATATAAGATAGAAAAACATTCATGGGAAGAGTAAGATATCTTTTTGGCAGCTTAACTTCCTCCTCTTCCTTCCTGGGGCCTGGGGCTCTTCTTTTTCTATAGTTGCCTTTATCAAGCTTCAATTATCATACTATCCTGACAGCACTTTTGTATCAGTATCTGTATAGTTTTAGATCTTTAAAAAGAAAAACAATCTGAAGCACAGATTTCAAAACATTAAGATTTCACAAAACTGATTGGAACTTATGTGGATATTGTATATTCACTACGACATTATTCCCTATAGTTTTTAGCTTATGATAGTAAACTGTTAAAGGAATTAGGCCAAAAGTAATATTTGCCTAATGTCTTAAAGCAAATTACTATTAATACATTTTCTTTTTAGTAAAAAATAACAAATACATTTAGTAACAATTCTCATGGAGGACATTCTTTAGGAAAAAATTCAACAACATGGTAGCTTAACTATCTTCCATATTATGATTAAATCACTAAATGCTTTATTGTTTCAGATGAAAGCAGGGTATTTATTTCCAAATTTGCAATATGCAAATTTCATCTGAATATGTAAATCAGCACTCTTCTCACTCAGTTGAATGCTAGTTGTTTTGTTTGTTTCTTCCTTTGGATTGGGAGAATTTGGAAAATGTAACAATGGTTAGTAATTTTATTTCTCTTATTAAAGAATATATTCCTAGTCACTTCTGAAGTTGTTTTCCATAGAAGCACTATATCTATTATCCTACAATATCTTATTCGATTTAAACTCTTGGGATTCTTTTTAGACATTTAAATTTACATTTCTTTAATCTATTTATTTTGCTTTCGTTCTAATAATCTCCAATACCTGACAGCCTGCATATCCAAATTTCCAACTTCCGTACAGATCTGAGGCAGCAGACATGGGATAGCCAATGCTACTGACCCCTATATCAGTAACAGCAAGGTTAATAATAATTGCATTTGTGGGTGTCCGAAGTTCCTTGTACTTAATGAAGATGCCCAGAACTATTATGTTGCTGAGAATACTTATCATACCTGAAAACACACACAAAAAATATGATGCATTTTGGTTAATTTGAATGTTTCAAAGTAGACTCAGAATTAAATATTTAAGCCCCTTTAAAAACATAACAGATCTATTTTAGTTCATTTATTTGAAGAGCTCCTGCTGTTCTTAAAACTGTGTGTAACATCTTCACATCCCTTCTGTGAAATAAGAAACTTAAAACGCAAAGAATCTGCCAGTTGCACAAGCCAGCACTGAAGGCTGGTTTTAATGTCATCACTATTGAGTGTTCTGTCCTTGACCTTCCTTCATTGGCTTTCTTACCATTCCTGCTGATTTTTAGGACGAATGTGTGACTGACCATACCGTCTTTTTGGCAGCTTTACTTCCTCCTCTTCCTTCCTGGGTCCTGGGGCTCTTCTTTTTCTATAGTTGCCTTTATCAAGCTTCAATTATTATACTATCCTGACAGCATTTTTGTCACTATTTCCAGCCATGACACAAGTTCCAGTTCCACATCTTCTCTTTTCCTTCAACTCATTGTCATTAAACATTTACTAAGCATTTACCATATGTAAAATTGTATGACTATTCCAGTATTTCTTGAAACTCAACATGTCCAAATTCTTCATCCAACACACACACACCCACACCACTACCCTGATAGAAGAATGCATACTACAAGACTTGACTATCCAGAGAGGAAGTTGAGTCAGCTTTTTGGTTCATAGAGAAGCCTCACAGCTGATACCAACCTAATCAAGTTCTTGACTGTTTGCTTGCAGGTTCAGGACCTCATTGTTGTCAGTGCCCCAGAGTGGTTGCACTGAGGCGGACGGATAACTACACTTATCAACCAGAATGCCACTGCATTAATTTACACTGAGGAGTATTGTTGAGTGTACTGGATGTGCATGTTCAACATCCCCTACATGCTGTAAAGGGCAAAAGCCAGATATGGGCCATACTAGGTCCTAACGGGGTGTGGGGGCTGGGGTGTGAACAGATTTCAGCCAAGAAACTAGAATCATTACTGGATTATTAGAGACTAAAGGAGGGTTGTGCAACAAGCAGGAATAGAGTTGAATTCCTCGTCAAGAATTACTTGGTGATCAATCCCCAACTACTGTCAGAGAAGGACAGTTTCCAAGCACCAACATACAACAATACCAGCTCAGTAAAAACTTTTATCATATCTTGGCACTTCATTCAGAACTTCCATCTTAGCCTGTTATGCTAACCTTCCAGATTCCTGTTCTTTTCCCCTCCTTGCTTCTGGCAGAATCAGCTTGCTATAACATAGAATTAACCACGGTTCTTCACCTCTCGAGAACTTGTAATATTCTCCACTGGCTGTGGGATAAAATCCAAATGTCCCAACCTGATATCCAGGTTCTTTGCCTCAATCTGTTGTCACTCTCTAGAAGCAAATTTCTACACTTGTGAAACAAACTCTCTATTCTAGTTATGTCCCAGATACACCATGCTTGACTCATATTTCTCCCACTTGGAGCATCCTGCTCCTTCCTTCTGCCTATCCAAATGCCATCCATCCTTCAAACTTCAGTTCAAGCTCTTAACCCTTCTCCTATCCACACTATCCTCTCCTTCCTAAATTTCCGAATGACTTGCTTATAATATAGTCTTACGTGACTCTATATAATTTAACTGGTACTTTTCCTAGTCTTTTCATGTAGATTTCAGGCTCCTCATTATTTCTGTGGTTTTTGATTATGTGACATACAGCAGATTTATTTAACAAGTGGCTACAACTAAAACCCATATTGCTTAGTTTCTACCATTCCTTCAAGATAATTAGCACACAATGATAGCAAATTTGATAATTTGGCCTTATTTTTAGCATCTACGATTGTCGCATGTATACAAAAATACTCTGAAGAATTTAATGAAGAATCTTTCTGGGCTACCTACAGATTCAATGATTTTTTAAAAGTTAGATAAAAACAGTGCAGTAAATTGCTGCCTACCAAGTACACAACCAGAATAAAGTAACTATAATTCTGGGAGTCTTAGAAATAATGGGGGGTATGAAGTAAACAGTTTCGTGCTTTTCTCTATTCTCTCTGCAGCTGTGCCAAACACTCTGCCTTGTTTCCCCAGATGCAGGTCTTCTAATGGGTATAACAATAGATCACCTAGTCAGTAGGTTTTAGTTAAGTCCCATCTCACAGTCAGTCTAAACGCTACGTAGCACTTGAGGTTGACTTCTCTTTCACCCTTGAAACATTTTTTTCTCTTGTCTTCTGTGATTTCCATCCAATCTCTTGGACAGACCCTTCTTGATCTACTTCCTGGCCTTTCTTTCCCCATCTGACTCATTAAATATGTGCATTGTCCAACCTTCTGTCTTGGACCCCTTTCTTTTCACATACTCTGAGTGATTTCTTCATATCCAAGGCTATACCGATACTTTCCAGCCTCCGGACACTCAAACCCATGTGTCCAGCTTTTTACTGGACACCTCTCAAACTGAACTGAGAGACTTTTTCACCTGCCTCAAACCTGTTCTTCCCCAGGTGTGTTTCTATCTTGATGAAGACCATCACCATCTATTCAGTAGCTCAAAAAAAGAAACCTAGGAGTCATCTTTGATGCTTCCTCTCCTCCCACAGTCTTATCATCCAATCATCAATTCCACCTTCTAGCTCTTGAATGTATCTACTTCTTTCTGTCCCCACTGCCATTATTCCCTCCTCAGAATCACTGCAATGTCCTCCTATGTGGTTTCTTAGATACCACTATAGCGCATTTCTAAAATGCAAATCAGATCATGTCACTCTGGTTTCAAATCCTTTAGTGACTCCCTGTCACCTTTAAAACTTACATGGCTCATCACTGTCTGATACTCAGCTATCATTTCCAACATATCTCTCACCCTTCATCTTACGATTCATCCATAATGATTTATCTCAGATTCTCGAATTCACCATGTCCTCTTACCTCCCGGCCTCAATTGGGGAAAGGGAGAGTGCTCAAGGACACTAAATTAACAAAATGTCTGTCGCACTGGAAGTTGGTAACAGTTTATAGGAGCCAAAATCTAAATAAAAGATTAAATAAAAAATCTAAACAGCCTCTTGGTGAAAGTAACAAATGAAATAAATGCTTTCACTACACCCTTTCCTCATACTTTTGGTTTTGATTTGCAAGTTTACGTGGATTTTGTTAAAGGAGGAAAGTTAGGGGATCTAAAGAAAAATAGGTGCTTGATACAGGGTCAGAACAAAAGCATAAAGAGGTCAGATCTGCTTCCTTCAGTTGCTCCACAAGAAACACAAGTGAACAACACATACACATTGTATACCTTGATAAAGCTGACTCATGGAGTTATATGTGAGGGCTCTAGAAACAAAATGCCTGGGTTCAAATCCTGGTGTAGCTACTCAGATGTGTGTGTTAGACAAGATTCTTAAGTTCTTCATCAGTATAAACTAGAGAAATAAAACTGAAAAGTAACTTACTGAATTAGTGTAAGGATGAATTATCCTGTATGTGCAAGGTTTTAGAACAGTGCTTGGTATATAGCAAGTATTCAAATGATAACATTGGTAGCAGTAGTAACATTACTATTACTACTACTGTTACAGGGATAATAACTAAATAGAATATTTTCTGCATGCTAATTTTGTTACCAGGTCAAAAAAGGATAGGTCTGGTTGTTTGTTTTTGCTTTTTGGTTTTTTTTTTTTTGGTCATCTACAAAAAACTAAACCAAACACTTGTATACAAAGTATTTCCATGTAATTGTTACGAGATTTTTCTCTCTTTTTTGCAATAACAAAGAAACTAGTACTTGTTTAGTACTTATCATACAGAGGTATTCAAATGAACGAGATAACATGTCACTAAAATCACAAAACTTAACTGAGGAACTCACAATTTCTAGCACTGGAAGTAATATGCTGAATTATAAGAAAGAAACGAAACAATTATAAACTGGGTATAGGATGATATGTTACACTTTTCATTCTACTTTTAAGTATGTTTGAAATTTTCATAAAAGTCCACCCAAAAAATAATGAACCCAGTATAATACAGTGACTCCTAAAACTTGTTACGGAGTATAAAGTTGAAAATTAAGTGATTGCTCAATATAAAAGTTACACAATTCAATGATACAATCAAAAGACAGAGTTTCTACTGTCATTTCCCCCATCCGTTTTTTTCTGCAAACAATCCTTTACATCAGTGAGTGTGTACAGAGGAAAGGGAAAAAGAAACAAATATTTGCCCAACACCTACTATTGGCATTTATGTATCATTTAATTTTACGCCTTATGACAATCATGACAGGTAACTTACTCTTATCCTTGTTTTACAGGTGAGAAAATGGAAGAACAAAAAGGAGAAGGAACTTGCTCACAGTTGCAAATATACTAAAACATGAAATCCAAAATTCAAGAGTTTTCCAATAAGTATTCTAGAGCAAGCTGAATTTTCAAACTCTGTCCTTAAATGACAATATACTCTGATCTGTCTTCTTAGGACTTTTTCTTTCCAGAACCTTTAAGTCCTTAGCTAAATTCTACCACAAAGAACAAAAATATGAGGATTATGTATAAGAATAGTAAATGATATAAAAATATATTTTTGCCATGGTGCATGCTCTTCTCCAATAAAAACTTTGACAATGCAATAACCAAATATATAGATTTTTATAAAAGAACTACTTATTACATAGAAAACTTTTCTCAGCCCCACTTCACTGTTCTTACATTATCAAACATCAAAATAACCCGCGACAATGGCTATCACTAATGCTTTCACCCACATTCTCTTATTTGATCTTTACAGCCCAGAAATAGAATATCATCATCCTCATTTACCACACGAGCAAGCCAAGTCGGATAAATGACTTCTTAAGGTTGGCCAATAATATGGAACTTGAAACAATGCATTCCTTATGCTGAAAACTTCTGCCTTTCTTCCCCCTAAAGAAAGATAACTGTTAAACATCCATACCTGCCATAATCAAGTAACTTGCAACAATATTGTGTTCAGTCTGTGAAAAGACCGAGCCATCTTCATTTTTAGAGTCTGAACTGTTGCCTAAATTATTTCTTAGCATTTTGGAGGGAAGATACTGAGACAGCCTTCATAATAAGCCTTTGATAATTATGAACTGTTTTATGAGCTACTGAGGAAAGATCTTTCAGGACCAATCATTTCCACTTAGAGACCTCAAAGAAGGGCCTTTTCATAGAGGCCCTCCCTTAACAAATTTAATTGGGCTAAAGAGGAAGGGATTTTAATTCCCAGAATAAGGGAAAAGCTTATTAGCAAAACAAAAAGAAATACCAAGCACTACACATTTTAACCTATTTGGGTATCAGTCTTCAGTCTAAGGAGATTATCAAGCACACACATCACAATTAAACAATAAACAAACTCAGGAAATCAGTGCAGGAGCAGACTTAAATGATTTCTGCTGGAAATCAGTTCTGATATTAAAAGCCAGTCTTAGTCCTCTGAAACTATTCAGGTTAAGGTCCCTGTTTTCTGTTGACCCTTCAAGTTTTTCCATTGTGGCTCCTTTTATTTTTTCTCCTTAATTAAAATATTAGTGATAAAGAAGTAATCTCCTTCCTACTTTCGAATCTCCCTCTCCTAAACGTACCAGTATTCTTTGGTGCATATTCTTTCTTATGCTTTTCTCTGCTTATACAAATATATATTCATACAAGTATTTAAGGTTTCTTCCACTTTTTTCTTATAAACAAAAATGAGGAAAAGAAGTAAGTATATATGTATATATATAACGCATATATAATGCAACTTGTTTTTCCCTAAGGCTGTATTATAAATTTCAGGTCAATAATCTCAGAATCTAATAAAGTCTAATTTATTAGTAGCTATATATTTCATAGCATGGATATAACATGATCAACTCCACCATCCATCTCAGTTTATTTTTCCCATAGTTGGCTGGGCACGGTGGCTCAAGCCTATAATCCCAGCACTTTGGGAGGCAGAGGAAGGTGGATCATGAGGTTAGGAGTTCAAGACCAGCCTGGCCAACATAGTGAAACCCCATCTCTACTAAAAATACAAAAATTAGCCGGGCATGGTGGCACGCACCTGTAATCTAAGCTCCTCAGGAGGCTGAGGCAGGAGAATCGCTTGAACCTGGAAGGCAGAGGTTGGAGTGAGCTGAGATTGTGCCGCTGCACTCCAGCCTGGGCAACAGAGTGAGAGGCCATCTCAAAAAAAAAATTATCCTATAGTTTGATATGCACATAATTAAAATTATCTGATGATAGTAATCATTTTATACATTGCCAAAGTATCTGAATTCAATCACTGATATGGTAAAGCAGAGTAAAAATATTCTGGGTTATCACATTATAACATGAAAACTAACCCAAACATGTTTTGTTAGAATAATAAGGTATCCCTATTACCTTTTCCCCCATATTCTTTATTCCATTCACATTATTAAAATCTGATTCTTCTCAGTTTCTTAAAATCAGTAAACATTAGAGAAATGCTTAGATGCACCAAGGTTAACAGTGTAAGCATAAAACAGAACCACTAGAGGGCTATATTTACCCACTTAATCTTTTGTAAATCCTAGAATGGCACAGAAGAAACCTAAGATAATCCTTTTGCCTCAGTTCTCTTGCCTGTGTTTAAACTCAAGGTAAACAGGTTGACTTATCTGTCCCAAATCTTATAGCCACCCATACTCACGTTGTATAAATGTAATGTTCAAGAGATCGAGACCATCCTGGTCAACATGGTGAAACCCCATCTCTACTAAAAATACAAAAAAATTAGCTGGGCATGGTGGCACGTGCCTGTAATCCCAGCTACTCAGGAGGCTGACGCAGGAGAACTGCCTGAACCCAGGAGGCGGAGGTTGCAGTGAGCCGAGATCACGCCATTGCACTCCAGCATGGGTAACAAGAGCGGAACTCCATCTCAAAAAAAAAAAAAAAAGTGAATTTGATTCAAAATAAAATGCCTCAAAAAAAAAAAAACCCAGAAGCTAGGCCAGGCACGGTGGCTCATGCCTGTAATCCCAGCACTATGAGTGGCCGAGGCTGGCGATCACCTGAGGTCAGGAGTTTGAAACCAGCCTGACCAATATGGAGAAACCCCATCTCTACCAAAAATATAAAAATTAGCTGGGCATGTTGGCAGATGCCTGTAATCCCAGCTACTCAGGAGGCTGAGGCAGAAGAATCACTTGAACCCAGGAGGCAGAGGTTGCAGTGAGCCAAGATCATGCCATTGCACTCTAGCCTGGGCAAAAAGAGCAAAACTCTGTCTCCAAAAAAAAAAAAAAAAAACCAGAAACTATAAGGAAAAAAAGGGAAACGATGTCGAAATAATAGCTTAAAGATGGCCAATGACCAATGACCAAAAGATATATATATAAGCTAAAAGATGAAATCTGCAAGTGGTTTGTCTACTGATCACATTTTATCCAACATTGCCATTATAGATTTATTTTTAATGTTTAAAAAAAAAACTGTAGAAATGTTGCACTATTACTATTTGCCCTTGGGACAATGCCATCACCCTCTAATGCTCACTAACTTCTTTTCCAAACCAAGAGCAAAAACTCTGGCCCTACACTCCATGAAAATTTCATCACCACAATTCTAAATCAAATGATCTCCTAAGCTGTAAAAGCATAACTGCCTATTCCTGTAAAAACTGTAATTTTCAACACATTCACTCATCATATATATTAATGGCCTATGTATTTATTAATCCTGCTACAATTCTATCAATTAAAAAAAGAGATAAAATCCCAAATACTGACATAGACAACACTGTATGCTCCTCAAATGAGCATTCAAGGGTTAAGCATGTTAGAAAATTTAACAAATGATGTAGAAACATCACTCCTTCTGAGAAGTGCAAAATGAATAGCAGGGTAAATAGCTCCGTATCATGGCATTGTAACTTGCTACCATGGTCATTTCTTTACACGCTACTAGCAACAGTGACCAAAACCAATTTCATTTTTAACATCATTACCCAGCAATTTGAACATGTGGTATGCAATCGATATTCACGTATAGTAAATAACACCTTAAACTTTTAGAGTCCCTTTAAAAAAGTAAAAGTGAAATAACATTCAATAAAACCTTTAATATTCCATTTATGTTGGCTGAGAAAAATTGACCGTTTCTTTAGAAATTTCTTGAACTACAGTTTTCACTTAAACAGAGCTACTCCACCTTCAATACATTGCTAATATGGAAAATTTTTAAATCAATAATTAAATGCAATTAGAGAAACAGCTTAACGGATTTATGTATTAAAACACAAAAGGGAAACACAGAGCTATGTTCTCATATGTAAAAGGCCAGGGTTTTGAAAGGGGGTATTAATTTGTAAATAAAGTACTGCTCTAGTAGCCTATTTTTTCAAAGATCAAATAGAATCAAAAAGGATTGAAAAGAAACCTTTTTTTAATCTGCAATTCACTGGGTTTAAGCTTTAGTTGTTCCTTTCTACTTCAAAAAATGGGTTTCTTTAATAAACACACTCTAAATAAGGGAATAAACACTTTATTTTAAAAATTCAAATATGCTTCAAATGAAAACTCCTGTCCATTTATTAAGCACCCACAGAGTGCCAGGCACTATACAAAACATTAAAAAGATTTGTTCATGCTCTTTTAGAGCAAAATTCACTATTCCGTTGTACTTGGCATAATGCTGACATTTTAGATCCATTGTCATAAAACGACCAAGATCTTCAAGACTTGCTCAAGAAACAAGTTTCCAATCCACAGTAGAAACAGATGACACAGGTTTATGCAGAAGTCAACTGGTGATGTCTGTCAACCATTTCACTTAATGTCCTCTCCCTAATTAAGAGAAAATTGAAGTATTAAGGGCACAGAAAATGGATTTCTTAATAGTATTATAACCTAAAACTCAAGTTTAAAATCAGCATTAGTTTCTATAATGTTTAGCAAACATATTTTACCCAATTTAACTGTCATTCATATTACACTTTCATTTTTTAAATTAATAATTAAGCAAAACCAAATTAGAATTAGGTGAAAAAAATTGAAAGGAAAAGGCAAAACAAAAAGTGATATAAAATAAAGCCACAAATTAGGCTAAGCAAAGAACATCACGGTGTGCTACATACTTGCTAGCAGAGAAAAATAAACTGAAACAAAAACAGAAAATGCCTGTTTAGTATCAATTCTAAAAATCAAGCAATTTAAAGACTTTTTAAGATACTCACCTCTGAAACCACCTCCCCCTCTTCCTCCTCGGAAGCCCCCACCTCCACCTCCTCTTCCACCTCTAAAACCACCTAAAAAACATGTATTAAATAATAATGCAAAATATTTAAATAATATAAATAATAAACATGAACAGTTATTAACTATATAACCTCTTATGCTGATAAGCCTACAAACATCAATACAATAACTATAATTACAATGAATATTCACATATTTTATCATGGAAAAAATTTTAGAAGATAAAAATGGAGGGACTGTAGTTTACCAACTTGGCAACAGGCTAAAACCCTAGATTCCTTTTAAACAAGTATTCCATTTCAATAAATTAGAAAACCTGCTACTTTAAAGTATAATTCAGTCTTGTTAAATGTACAATTATCACCTTAGTTCTTGCTTATGATAAAGACTTTTTGATTCAACGAAGGATAGTTTGATGGAATGAAGGCTTTTTATCCTAAGAACAAAGGGTGGCACCTATGGGTGCTTTTGCTCTGGGGGCATGATAATAAATATGATAGTTAAGGCTAATTGAGCTACATAGGTAAGATTTTTTAAAAATAAGATAGTTGTGAATTTTTTGAAATGTTAAATGATACTCAAATGAGAATAGGGGAATCTCTATTCATCAAATTCTCAAGAAGGTACCCCTGAAAATATTGGAGAAATATGTTGATATTTTTTAAAGATATTCCTTGCTACCTATATGGACCCAAACAAGTACATTTATGGAGTGAAATGATGATTAAATTGAGAGACGCAAAAGCGAATCGTTCCTTCTCTTTTTCTGATCCAATAACAAAAGCCCAACTTTCAGCTCCTCCCCCTTTCCACTTTGGCCCTCCCCCTACTCACAGGACATGGCAGCCCCACTCCCCAGAGCCCTGCTCATCACCTAGCTGCCAATTAATGATGAATGTGCCAAAACCTTGGGGAAACAGTGAGATCACAGCAATGAATTTATTAGTAATAGTTCTTGACATGACATCAGAAGATATGCATTTTAATTCTGGGTCTGCCAATTGTTTGATGGGGGCAAATTAATTTCTGTAAGTCTCCGTTTTCCTCATTCATAAAACAAAAATATCATCTATCTCAAAAGGTTTCACTGAGATTAGAAGAATATACAAAGAAATTAAAAGAAGGTATGACCAGCTTTCAGCATGCAGTCTATACTCAATGATAATAAAATTAAGATGATTTTATGGTTTATTAAAATGCCCAAGAAAACATGAATAACCCAAAGAAATAAAGTCCCTCAAAAGTATACTACAGTAGATTTTTTTTTTTCTGTTTAAGTTGTTGAAATGAAGCATTATTATTATGGACAATCTGTCAATATTTGAAAGCAGCTTTACCATAAGGGAGGTTTGCTATGTTCAAAACTAAATTGTACTATATGAATTTAGCTGTGACTCTAAAATCTCAACAGAAATTTTCCCCAAGTAACTTACCACCTCTGCCACCACCTCTGCCACCTCCTCCTCGTCCTCCTCCTCGGCCTCCCCTGCCACCACCTCTTGGAGGTCCTTTCTCACCTGGAGGTCGAGGTAAAAACCTCTGCAGTGGCAGCAGCTTATATGGGTCTATATAAAACTGGAAACATAATAGAAGCAATTAGTGTGATGACTTGGGGGACAGTATAATAATTCAGAAGCTACATGATAGAGTCAAAACTGACTGGGTTCCGTTTTGCAATTTAATTCTTTCCACAATGTATCTCTGGGTAAGCACTTAATTTCTTACTACCTTAGTTTTCTTTTATCTTTTTTTTTAAATTTTAAGTTCTGGGATATACGTGCAGAATGTGCAGGTTTGTTACATAGGTATACATGTGCCATGGTGGTTTGCTCCACCTATCACTTGTCATCGAGGTTTTAAGCCCGCATGCATTGGGTATTTGTCCCAGTGCTCTCCCTCTCCTTGCCCCCCACCCCCCAACATGCCCGGGTGTGTGATGTTCCCCACCATGTGTCCATGTGTTCTCATCGTTCAACTCCCACTTATGAATGAGAACATGCAGTGTTTGGTTTTCTGTTTCTGTGTCAGTTTGCCTTAGTTTTTTTATCTGTAAAATGTAGAGAATACATAACTAGCTCACATGTTTGTGTGATGATCAAAAGTGACCTATATAAGGCACTTGCAATTTGGCACACAATAAGCATTGTATGCATATAAAAAAATCAAGACCAATTCAATCTCATTTCTCTTTAGAAATAGGTTTAACATTTCCACTCAAAAGAACTGCCTTAAGAAAAATAAAACATAGCATTATCTTGAATAAAATAAAAAACATAGCATTAAAATTCAAAATAAAGCATTCACAAACTAGCTGTTTCAAGCCTTTAATAAAGATCAAAAGGGTAACTATTTTCTGAACACACAAAGTAATGAAGGATATAGAGAAACTATACCCATCCCATAATTGGGGCTAAAGAGGACATTTCTCAGATAATGAAATGTAAAGGGCATATTGTATCATAGTTCTTCTACACAAAACACATGAGGATTTCAAAACTGTGATACATTACTTAGAATAAGATACCTGAATCCCTCTCTAGCTATCACCTTATTATTCATCTTCCCTTCATAGCCCATCATCTCAAAATATTATCTAGATCTACACTGTTCCATGTGGTAGCCATGAGCCACAGGTGGCTACTTATATTTAATTATTAAAAATTCAGTTCCTGAGTTACATGAGCCACACTTCAGGTGCTCAAAAGCTACATGTCACTAAGAGCTACCTTACTGGGCAGGGATTTCCATCACTGCAGAAAGTTCAAGTAGAGGGCACTGGTCTACAGACTTCGTAATAACGCAGGCTGGGTAAGGAGGGCTGAATCTCAACATAGCAGGGGGTATGGAAACTGGGAGAGGTAGAATGTACTCAAGTTAATACCTGTAGTTAAAAAACAAAAACCGAAAAAACTAAATAATAAGCCCTCAAATAAATAATTCTGAGAAAAGGGAGAGGGATTCCAATCAATTTAAGTGGCTATTACCAGCAGTTTTTTTTCAGGTCACAAAATGGAAATCCTTTCTCAGCATTGTTTCTTTCTGGGCTCAACAGCTCCAGGCACACCTGAAGCAATTTCCTGTGAGTACTTGCCAAGGTTTCCACAACTAGCAGGCATAAGCTAACAACAAGCTATTGTCTCCTTCTCATTTCCCATTTCATTCTGGCTCCTGGGCCCACTACTGCACTGGCTCCATGATTCCCTGACGTCTACGTGGCTGTCTTCCAATGAACACTTTGCAGCATTTTGCCACAGCTGAGCAGTCTCTCCTGGAAACACTCTCAATTTTTGTGACACCATTTTTATGGCAGGCTCGTGGTTTGCCTTTTTTTTTTAAACTGGCAATTTCCACTAACTGAGTTTCCAGTAACAGACATTTAGCTTTAGGAGGTGTCCCAAAACTTCATAGGTGCTCTTTTCCTCTCATTCTTTCTTCCTACACTGTTTCATGTACTGTCTGTATACTTAACAAATTCCCAATTCTATCTCCAGTCTAGACTCTTCCTTTAAACTCCTGACGATTTGACCATCTCACAAGTACCTTCACCTCACTATGTCCAAAACCGAACTCATTATCTTTCCCCAACCCTCCTCTTCTGCATTGTTGCCCATTTCATTAAACGATACCATCACCCACAAAGATGTTGACATCAGACATCTGAAAGATGGTGATATTTTTCCCTTCTTCAATATCCATCCTGTTGATTCTACTTCCTGTACCTTTCATAAATCCACCCACTTTTTATAGTTAGAACAACTATTATAACCTCCTACCTGTCCCCTCACACAATATTGCCCTCTTCCCAAGGTGCTTTTTTATCTTCCCAGTGTTCTTCTGAAGCATACAACTAACTGTATTATCCCATTATTCAAAAATAAAACATGGCCGGGAGTGGTGGCTAACACCTGTAATCCCAGCACTTTGGGAGGCCGAGGCAGGCGGATCACCTGAGGTGGGGAGTTCGAGACTAGCCTGACCAACATGGAGAAACCCCATCTCTACTTAAAATACAAAATTAGCCGGGCATGGTGGCATATGCCTGTAGTCCCAGCTACTCAGGAGGCTGAGACAGGAGAATCACTTGAACCTGCGAGGCAGAAGTTACAGTGAGCCGTGATCATGCTGTCGCACTCCAGCCTTGGCAACGAGAGTGAAACGCTGCCTCAAGAAAAAAAGCAAAACACAATTGAAACTAAAGTCTAAACTCTTTCCTATGACCTGAAGGCTTAAGTGAATCAAGCCCCCTCCTACCTCTCTGGTCTTAATTCACAACTTTCCCAACCTCTCCTAAATGCTTCCTTCCCAACCTATACATTTGCCTTTTTATTTCCTTTCAGTTGCTTGCTGTCTCGGAGACTGCATATACTCTTTTCTCTACTTGGAATGTACTTTCCTCTTTCTCTTTGACTAGCTCAGCGCCTCTCAAGTATTTGCCTAACTACATCAAAACTATCCAAGTGCTTTTCCTTTTTACAACTGAATCCTGAACCCTACTTAAGAGCTCCTAGGTCAAATTTCCTCAAGTGGAAACTTGAAGTACATCTTCTTAAAAGCTCCCCAAGATAACTCTGACATGCAACCAGGTGTGGAAATCACTTCTAGTCAACAATCAGGCCTAAGCTTCAAGCTCACTTTTTCAGGAAACATTACTAAAGTTGGTGGCACTACAGTTTCTCATGGCAACCTGTAGTTTTCTTTCACAGCATATGCTGTTGATGTCTTGGGAAATCATTCAGTACCTACGTTCTCTCAAATAACGTAAGATTTTACCTAGAGTGTTTGGTCATTAAAGTTTTTCAATATGAGTTTTACATAAACGAAATCTCTTACTCTAGCGGTTACAGATCTTGTTAATATGAGCAAAATCTGTAATTTTTACTTTCTAAAAGGTTGTATCAAATAAATTACTTTTAAAGATTAGTATGTTCAATATTTATAGCACAGAACATTTCAGTTTAAGAGCTTTACTAGTGATATACTGGGGAAGTCTCAAGTGCCCTAAGTAGTACTTTCCTAAGATAGGTCATTCCCTTATAAAACCAAGGATCCCAAGTAACGTAAGTATGACTCACCTTCTGCAGTTTTTTAAAGGATGAAGCCTTCATATTTTCTGACAATTTAACTGAAAAATACTATTACTTTCATTAAGGAACAAATTAGCAATTAAGATGAAAGGTAATATCGAACCTTATGAATTTATGTATAATTTCAAAAACAAGATTAGAATACATGGACATATATATATGAAAAATAAAAAATGAGTTTCCAGGGGGCTGGGCGTGGTGGCTCATGCCTGCAAACCCAATACTTTAGGAGGCCAAGGCAGGTCGATCACTTGAGGCCAGGAGTTTGAGACCAGCCTGGCCAACATGGTAAAACCCCATCTCTACTAAAAACACCAAAATTAGCTGGGCAAGGTGGTACTCACCTGTAATCCCAGCTACTTGAAAAACTGAGGTATGAGAATTGCTCAAACCCAGGAGACAGAGGTTGCAGTGAGCTGAGATCGTGCCACTGCACTTCAGCCTGGGCAACAGAGTATCTATCTCAAAAAAAGAGAAAGAGGAAGAGGAAGAGGAGAGAAGAGTTTCCACAGTAGTGGGGGCACCAAACAACTTCTAATTCTACATTTCCAGAGGCACCACTATATCCAAATCAACCAACTTAATCCTGTAGGACTTATCCAAATGGCCATCATTTCTAGAACTTTCCCAAAAAAAACCTCACCTTTCTAGGGTCTGTCATTTTAATACCTATGGATGAATACATCCTCCCCTTGATTCTCCTTCATGGTCCAGTATGTAGCAATCCTGTCTAATTAAATAAAACAAGTTTAATTTATACTTAACTGCCTCAGAAAAATACAAATAGCAACCTTTGAATATTATTCAGTCTTCCAATTAAAAAGGATACAAAATCTCTAAGTTGTCCAAATATTTCATCCACTTTTCCAATTTGTTCTTTGTTTTCTAAGTAAACAGGAGCATTGAAATAAGGCACTTTATTTTCATCTGTGGTACATTTACAAACTATGTCATCTTCACAGGGATGGAGGAACTCTCCTAACACTGAAATAGAACAAGAAAATGTTAAAACATAGAACTATTTCAAATGATACTGACGAACTTCTCCTGGAAGCTTTCTTTTTGGCTACCAGCACTTCACCATATCTGCTCTCCTGTGAGGCAGAAGACCACAGTCATTAAGAGTGTGGACTTCCTGGGCTGGTTTACAGACTCCACAACACACTAGCTCTGTGACCTAAGAGAAGTCACCCACCCTCTCTCTAATTCAGTGTCTCATCTTTAGTATGCACTAATACCATATCATGTATATCTACACCTAAAAGAGTATTGTAAGGACTAAATGGAATAACAAATGTCAAGTGCTTAGAATAGTGCCTGGCACACTGAGACCATTCAACCTAAACAGTTATCTTATTATAACGTATTATCTGATTCAAAACTCTGCTTCTTTCTTCTGATTCTTCCTTGTCTTCAACCCCCACTGAATCAGACTTTGTTCTTTTTTTTTTTCTCTTGCCTTTCAACTTTCACATTCCCACTACCAACTCTTTAACAATGATTCATTTTTTTAAAGGACATCTGGAGTCTCAAAATAACTACCTTTATTTCTAACTAACTAGAGTATCACCCAAACTTAAATACTTACCACATTCCTGCAAAACCAACTCTCCATTCCCATCGCCCAAGCTCAAAACCTGAAACTTTTTATTGCCAGTATTAGCTAAGTTCTACTGATTTTGTTTCCTTTGAAATCTTTCCTATCTAACCCTTCCTCTTTTTCCTCACTGTGACCATCCTGAATCAGGCTCTCAATGCCTCACGTATGGACTGGTGCAACAGCTTCTGGGCTGGGACCTTTTATTCTAGACACTGCTCCTTTCAAATCCTCCTTAACTAGACACTGTTCATCCTCTCTCATCTTTAATGTAGTAGGCTTTACTTTCTGTGACTTCCATTCCAATCTCATTGTTAATTACTCGAAAACTGCCCTAAATGGGTCTTTTTCTCGACTTCCTCACTGGCAGTTTCCCTCTCAAGCAAATTTTTTTCTCACTTACCAACTTTTGAGTAGTAACGAAAGCATGGGCTGTGGACTCAGAATACTTGGCTTTGTATTTCTTTCTTTTCTGTACAGACAGGGTCTCTTGCTTATTGTCCAGGCTGGTCTCTAACTCCTGGCTTCAGGTGTGAGACACCGCACCCAGCCTGTATTTCAGCTGTATCACTAACTGATAACTTATCACTAACCTTAAGACCCTAGCAAAAAAAATTAACTCTGAATCACGGTTTTCTCATCTGTAAAATCAGGGAATTAAGGATAAGTATTCACTTGCTATCTTTAATATCTTCTTGTGAACCCTCAAGTTCCACCTCCATGATGCATTTTAAGTATCCCACAGCTTTCTTCATCTCCCCATCCCACCTTTACATGTACTGTACGATTATAAGTCAGTTTACATCATTTTCCACACAGGCTTGTGTATCCCAAACTTGCTGACTAATAACACAAACCCACAACCCACCTCTACTCCTTCAAATAGGCTAAATGTTGAAGACTACATACAGACTACACGTTCTGGAGGTCCTTGATCTTGGCCTTTGTTAAAGCCTCCGCGGCCACCCCCTCGGCCAAATCCTCCCCTGCCGCCGCCTCTGAAATTGCCGCCGCCTCCGCCACCGCCTCCGCCTCCACCTCGGAAGTGGTTGCTGCTGCTGCCACGGTTGAAGCCGCCACTTCCACCACCTCGATTAAAGCCTCCACGACCTCCGCCTCGAAAAGACATTCTCTCTCCTCCCTGGTGAAAAAAAATGAGCAGTTATCTTCTGATCACTGTAGCCTCTGAGTACACTCCAACCCCTTGGAGCCGCAGTCAGAAAGGGACAATAGCAGCCCTGTCACGTCACCCACGGTCAGACCGCCAGTGACCAACCTCTAGGGTGAAGAGTTTACTTCCCCATGAGTCTCCGGAACGCCGACCGACCACAGACCAGCCTGGCCGCCCCAGGATTAGTAACTCCTCCTCACACAGACAGCAAGGTCTTCACACCGTATCCCCTTCCTTCCTCCCTCCCTCTGGCAGCTGGGTTCCGCGTCCAGCATTTTCAGATCCTCCGGCTTCTACGGCAACTCACCGGCGCCACGTGCACCTCTGGCCCTGGCCTTGCGCGCGCACACACCCACCCGCTGGGTACTTCCGCAGCACTGGAACCTCCTCGGCTACCGTACCGCCAGAGTTTTTTTTTTTAAACCCACTTTTTTTTGGCAAGCCAAAAAAAAAAAAAAGCCAGTCACCGGCGGAACCAGCAACACTTGGTTCCAAAACAGTCTTCAGTGCTGGAAGAGTGGAATAATATCGAACCTTAACGACTAATTTACAACCATGAGGTCAAAGTGCCTAGAGTGGAGCAGCGGAAGTGACGTACAATAGCGGCGTCCTTCGCAGCACGACATCCCGGAAGTGCTGCGGCAATGTTGCTCTTGGAGATAGTTGGCGTTAGAGATCCGCCCTCTCTACCGGGGGCGGGGCGGGTGCCAGTTTGGTTCCAGCGCTGACTGCCGGAACGAAAGCACCTTGCAGGAACAAGGTTGGTTCTTAAGGTTCGTGCCGATTAACGGGGCGCACTTGCTTCTCACGAAATTGTCCCCAACCGCGCTCACCAGTTTGTTGCTAACTTCAGCAACTGTGCAGACGGGTCTCTAAGGTTTCTGAGCCGCACTCTTTTCAGTGGATCTGGCTGTGTCAGAACCTGTCACAGCCGGCGGAAGCGTTTATCTGAGTTTCTTGTTTTTTCTCGACCTATTGATTTTCGCACAATTGTGGGTTGAACTGTGCCTGTTATTCTGTTCTGTGGTCTCACTGATTAGAGGAAGAAAAGCAATGTGTGTGTTTATTTAATTTTTTATGCTGTATTATAGAAAACCAAACCATCTTTTTTATCTTTGTACCAGGTATTCATTCAAGTATGTTTTAAGCACCGACAGGCTGTGAACCACTCTGTGCTCGATGCTCCTCTCCCTCTTCTCTCCTTAAGCCCTTTATATTTGACATCAGCTTCCCCCACATTCTCCAGAGCTTCTCTCACAAATAAAGGTAGTGACCTTCCATTTATTAAATGTGGTTGGAGTCTTTTATACCCAAATCCTCTGAGACCTTACCTTGATATTTGACACAGCTGACTACCTCGTGTTTAGAATAGGGTTGAACTTGGTACCTATCTAATTGACGGGGTTATTGTAAATGGGATTTTAAAATACCTTTGTAGGCAGGGCGCAATGGCTCACGCCTGTAATCCCAGCCCTTAGGAGGCCGGGGCTGCTGGATCACTTGAGGCCAGGAGTTCGAGACCACCCTTGCCAACACGGTGAAACCCCGCCCCCCTACTAAAAATAGAAAAATTAGCCGGGCATGGTGATGCACACCTTTTATCGCAGCTACTCAGGAGACTGAGGCAGGAGAATCGCTTGAACCCCAGAAGTGGAGGTTACAGCGAGCCCAGATCCGCCACTGCACTCCATCCTGGACAACAGAGCAAGACTTGGTCTCAAAACAAACAAACAAAAAACAAGTGAGAGAGGAAACTTCACTTTTTCTTTTTCTTTTAATTTAGTAAAGGTTGCAATTTGATTTTAATGAATGTCGATCTTTTATGGGCCTATATATGCATAAAAGTATTACTTTTGAAAGAAAAAAATGAAAATTACCTATTTAATGTGAAGTTTTTGGTTGTCTTTTGCTGTGTATCTGCTCAATTCTGAGTTTGACTTGAGATTATCACACACAGATTTCATTTTGAACTGAAATGAGATGCTTTCTGTCTTTGCTCTTCATAACTACTCAATAAGAAAAAACTTGCTTGAGGGATTTCCAGCTCTCTGGAATCCCCTCCCGCATGGTGGGAGCTCCCTTTCCCTTCTGGGATTTCCCCTCTGGAATCCCCTTCCACACTCTTTGTGGAAGTCTTTCTCTTCTCCTTTGCTTCTCTTTTCTCTACCTGAATAAAATCAACTTTCTGCAACCAAAAAAAAAAAGAAAAAACTTGAAGAAAAAGTTTAAAAGTATGTCAAAAATGTTTATTACTTTCCTATAAATGTCAAGCTGCTCTTCTTTCTCAGAAATCCAAAACTTGTAGATGCACAAATCAGGCTGGGCACGGTGGCTCACGCCTGTAATCCCAGCACCTTGAAAGGCTGAGGCAGGCAGATCACCTGAGGTCAGGAGTTCAAGACCAGTCTGGCCAACATGGTGAAACCCCGTCTCTACTGAAAATACAAAACTTAGCTGGCCTGGTGGTAGGCTCCTGTAGTCCCAGCTACTTGGGAGGCTAAGGCAGGAGAATCACTTGAACCCGGGAGGCAGAGGTTGCAGTGAGCCAAGATTTCACCATTGCACTCCAGCCTGGGCGACAGAGCGAGACTCCATCTCAAAAATAATATTTTCTTAGTATTAGCAAATATCTAGTCCATGTGAAATTTTCCCAGGTTATTTCAAAATGTCTTTAAATAGTTGGATCAATCAAATTGAGATCCAAACAAGGTCCATACATTATATTTTATTGATATATCTCTTAAGTCTCTTTTATTCTGTGTCAGTTTCCTCTCCCTGTTTTGTTTTTTCTTCCCATGGCATTTACTTGTTGAAAAAACTGAGTCTTTTGTCATGTATAATTCCCCACTTTGTCATTGATTACATCCTCATAGTGGTATACATTGTTTTTCTATCCTCTGTATTTCCCATAAACTATTAGTTAATTGATAGTAAGATCTAGAGACTTGATTGTGTTCAGGTTCTTCTTTTTTTTTCTCCTGCAAGAATACTTCCAGACGTCCCTTGGGGAGGCACATAATGTCTGGTTGTTTCTCTCTGGGAATGAGATTAATCAGTGGGATCAGTGTTTTCAGCCTCATTGACATATTAGTTCCCTGCCAGCTTCTCACCTAATGTTAGCAGCTGTTGGTGATCATCAATTGACTCATAAGGTATTGCAAAATAGTAATATGATAATTCTATCATTTATTTTGCAATTATTAACTGAAATAAATTTCCTTTTTTAATATTTTTATTTCAATTTTTTCCTCTCATTGTTCCTTATAATGCTTAAAATATTTCATCTTTGGCTTGTGAGAGCCCCTTCAAGTCTTTTAATACCACCAACTAGCCTTTGATGTCTTTCTTGCTTTCTGGTACAAAATATTTCTTTTACATTTTAAGCCTCAGACATGGAATCAGCTCATTCTCCAAAGAGCCTTGGTTTTTTAAGTGGAAAATGATATGTAGAGAAGACAATCTGGCTCTTTGCTCTGGATTGTTATGACTTGTAGACCCTATCAGTACAATGGACAACTAGAAGGTAATTATTTTTAGAAAGAAAAAAGAACTGTGGTTCACAGTGATATTTTCAATTCAAAGTTAAGACTACAGAGTTTCTGTTTCTTTGAATTTAAACTTGTGTCTGTCTTGCCCTGAAATTCTTATGACATTAGCATAATCACTTGCCTTAGCCTCCATATATATGTTATCAAATAAGTATTATTATTAACAGTAAGACTACCGAGTACTGCTTAAGATTTTGTTTGTATTGGTTTGCTAATATTTTGTTTAGAATTTTTGCATCTATATTCATAAGTGAGGTTGGCCTTTTTGTTGTGTTGCACATTTTGTTTTTGCAGATTCTGATAATAGAGCTCTGCTTTCAATGACTGTGCAGGAGAATGGTGGGATACGGGGCCTCTTTGCCTATGGCTTGCCTCTTAAGTGCAGAGACTCCCTCAACTTCATGGACGTTAGTGTCATCTAAAATGCTTTTCTGCTTCTGCCTTAGTGTCCACTCAAGGAGTTCTGGGTTAGAACATGTGCTACAGAGAGCATTACTATAGGCTTTGCCTGGGATAAATGCTCAAGTGCCCCCATGTGGGACACTGGCTCAAATGTTCTTCCTTTTATTTGTTAATTACTGAGTCCATCACTTCTCTCAGATTCTGTTTATTCTGTGGTCTTTTTTATACCCAACCTGACAGCAGCTGACACTAATATTGCCCCCACAAGATGGTACAATTCATCAAGGAGACCAACAAGACACTTACATGAATTTGACACTTCTTAAACTCCTTTAAGTTTTGCAGTTAATCTTTTCCTGTCTGCTATATGTATTCTAGTAATTCTTCACTGTTTATATTCCATTAATGAATCCTTCCTCATTTTTCAGTGGTGCAGTGGAATTACTTTTATTTTTATATTTATTTTCATTGCAATCATAGGAGGAAAGAGACTTAAACTGAATGAAGTGTCAGTCCTCATAAGCAGTTTACATTTTCCTTTTGTTAACCGCTGTATTAGTCCTTTCTTGCACTGCTATCAAGAAATACCTGAGATTGGATAATTTATAAAGAAAATAGGTTTAATTGGCTCATGGTTCCACAGGCAGTACAGAAAGCATGATGCTGTCATCTGCTCAGGTTCTGGGGAGGCCTCAGGAAACTTATATCCATAGCGGAAGGCAAACGGAAACACACATTATGTGGCTGGAGTAGGAGCAAGAGAGAGGGGACATTTTAACCAGAAAGGATCAAAAACAGTTCTCATTCACATGGAATGGGCAACATATACATTTAACATTTTCTCCAGGCCTTATCTGCCACCTTCTGAAATAATGTAATATGCAGAGATCTGGATCATCTGGATTTCCCATAAGACATTCTGGTTGTTTTTCCACTGATAGCATTATCTTCATCAGAGGAGATGAGCATGCTAAATACTTTGATAAACACATGCTCCAGAGGGTAGGAGATAAAGCCTGGCATATCAGTAAAATTTTTAGGAAACCAGTGTTCAGGAACCTGCTAGAACATCCTCTCTAATGTAAAAGACAAATTATTGTATCTTATACTTCCTTTAACAAAGAAAGAAGCACAAAACCTGGTGAGGCTTTGGACTCTGGGGGCAAATATTCTGCACTAGCGAATACTGCTCCAGCTGCCAAAGCAGAAAAGGCTTCTGCAGTGGTCCAGCAGACTCTATGGCATCAGAAGTCTCATTGATGGGGGAAGAATGCTGTGTGGTGTTTGAGGAGGATCCTGTGAGAGAACCGCAATATAGGAGGACCTCAGGGTTCTGGACCAAGACCATGCC